ATAACCCAACATCCAACCGAAGGATACATGTTAGTCATGGAATGTGGGGAGGAGGGTGATATGCGTAATTATCTGCGTGTAAACAACCAGGATTTGTCTTGGTCAGAAAAGATCTACTTATTAAGAGACACCGCAAGTGCTCTTAGTGTACTTCATCAACGCGAATTTGTTCATGGAGATTTGCACACAGGAAATATATTGAAAAAAAGCACCAAACCTTCGTTGCTAAATCGATTGGGTATGACCGATGGTCACAAACGTATGTGCATAGTAGATTTACCTTTGAGCTATGTGTCAACGCAACTATTCGGTGTGATACCATATGTCGCCCCCGAAGTTTTCATCAACGGATATCACACCAAGGCTTCAGATGTATACAGCTTCGGTATGGTGATGTGGGAGTTGGCCGTTGGTCTGACTCCTTACCATGATTATGCTCACGACAAGGATTTGATTGATGATATATGTAGAGGCGTACGCCCTGACATTGAAAGCATCATACCACAATTTTATGTAGATTTGATGACGCAATGCTGGGATCCGGAACCGCTGAAACGACCAAGTGCTCACATGATAAAAGCGAGCATCGAAGGATGGATATCGGCGTTAAAAAAATCATCGATTATGTCATCCAAACTGCAACAGAGCATTCTGTCGCAGATAAAGAGTAGCGATGAGTTGAACAAGAAGAGCTTCAAACGACAAACGAGGATGAATTCATTGGTATCCTCTACACCTACAATAGCGGCCACATTTCATAGTCAAAATTTGGGTGATATTTTGACTTTAGATGGACGCAGTACTACCTCCTCGAGGAAATCCAGTAATTTTTCATCAAGTAAATAAATTATTATTATTATTTGTTATTTTATTATTATCTACAATGCTGATCTCATAATCCAATATTCTCTTTTGTCTATTTTCACCAAAACTAGGTTCATATCGACATTAATAAATGCTGCAACTTCTTTGTGAAATTTCTGCACACTAAAAATTTAATGGTTACTTTTATTTCAATAGTGATAACGTTATTTATTATCCGACATTCTTTATTACAGCTTAACGCATCTTCGAAAATATTCTATTTATTTATAAAGGTATCATGTGTACTAAGCACATTTAGAACTAAAAAAAAAAAAAACCTCAATACATTACATACACCTTGTACATAGATCATTTTTATTAAAGGATCAAAAATTATTTATTACTTCTACTAGATAACACTCTGTTATTCACACGACATTGTTTTCACCGTAGTAACAGGAATAGTCATAATATTAAATTGGTCTGACGAGGGGTGAATAATGCGCTGGTTTCCGATTAGAAGATATTGCTTTTTATCTTCTGTAAATAGCAACCTACTTTTATTTCTTGTGTGGTTTCACTTTTCAATACAAACAATAAAAATACATATACTGTATACAGTATATCTATATATAGTATATATATATATATATATTTCCGGAAATTCAATTTGATAACATCTTAACCTCGTCAATACGATTAGCCACACGAGTTAGGACATGGTCTTTTATTTTACTTGAAGATACGTCGCGAAAAATGATGGACCGTTCATCGCTTATTTTTGTAACTCCTAGAGTACGAATGCGTGCTATTCACATTTCAGAGAGATATCAAAGATATACTTTATCTACGTTTTTTCTTCTGCTCGAGAATTATATGCCAAAGAAAGTTTGGCTAACAAGTTTCCACGCAATTAACGATATTATAAAATACGAGGGTTTGCCATAGGTTTCGTGAAAGGATTCTCGGTGTGACACGTGCATCGCCAATTGGATTTCACTCTTCGAAAGCGGTCATCCAATCCAATTGCAACTCTTTCTATTATTGATTTCGATTTGTTGATTATAAAATTTCGATTCATGGTCATGAGCGCATCTTTTCTCAGGTTCTAAACTACCGTGATTATTAGGCAATCTTATCAAGTGTTAATTGTATTTGAAAAAGTATTAGTGATCATGAAATTCGGAAAATACATTCAGGAGCGCATGCACTTACTTCCTGAAGATTGGAAGAATAATTGTATCGATTATATCGGTCTAAAAGCCGACATAAAAGCCAACATCACTCCAAATAATTTGAAGCTCGAATTATCCCAAATAGCATGGAGGCCACAAAATGAAGATCAAGTTGACTTCATTCAGCTCGTTTTCGGGCGGATGGGTTCGCTTCAGGTGAAATCAAAGGAATTTCTGGTGAAGTTGGATTCCGAAGTCCAAAAGGTTTCCGATTTTTTCGTGGCCCAAACTTCTTCTCTTGTGACTCTGTACAAGAAGAATGAGTCAAATTACGCTAATGAACATGACCTTGCCAACTTATTACAATCGATCGTTAAATTGGAGAAATTTGTTTTCCTCAATTATACTGGGCTGGTCAAAATATTGAAGAAACATGATAAACACTC